GAGATATGTTCATTTCTAGTGGCCTGAAAGTGTGCTGAAACAATATCCAAGCAGATCAAGTCCTCTCATTCCCACCAGTGCCAACCAATGCAGGTGTCTGTTAGCTGATGTAACAAAAAAAAAAAATATATATATATATATATATATATACAAATGTACTGTGACGATATCCAATCAAATTGACTATGCTGATCTCTTTAAAAACCCAGTCCAGATCCATGTGTGCCTGTGGTCAAGGGGGTTAATGCGTTCCATGTTTACACATATCACTTCACTACAGCTTCTTTAAAGCTACCCTTGAATCGGAAACTGTATTTACATTGGCAGGGGTTGGCAACCCAAACGAGAAGAGCCAGTGGCTGTTAATGCGTCTCAGTATGTGCTAATGTGTTAGTACAGGCTAAAAAATATAAAACACAGACTTACTTTGCTCTGCTTTAAGCTTTAGCTCAGCTATAGCTGCTTTTCTCACATCTCCAGCAGGAAACTTTTCCTCAAAAGTAAAATAAGTTAGTTTCTTGTAAAATGTCTCTAAACATAAATTTTTTTACGAGGCTGTAGTCAGCTTCTCGCTTACTGTTCTAATTTTCCTGTTCCACCTTAAATGGTGCCTGAGGAGCCAGAATGTAACTGCTGCACCATTTAAGGTGGAATGGGAAAATAATGAACAAGAAGCTGGCAAACACGAAACTGACTTCAGCTTCGCGACTTTTTAGTGTTTGATAGTTTCTCGTTGCAGATTAAACGTATCAGGAAATCACTGCGAGTGTTTATAAATGAAAATAAGTCTGTTCGCCTCCAAATTATTGATGTTTGTCTTAAATCTTTCTCTTTGCCTTTTTGTTATTTTACTGCAAAGAACTGACATACAGTGAACCTCAAACATTGCTGTCTCCTCCTTCAAATAAATATTTTGCATTTGCAAAAGAGCAGCAGTAAAACAGACCAATTCCAAAATCTTGGACTATAATGTAATGTAATATTTAGGTCCCTAAAATATACAACATAGCAACAACAAGAAAATGGCAGCCTATGTGCAGAAATATACTGTTCCAGACTGTGAAGGGGATGTCGACACTTTTTATACCCTTTCCAAGGAAGCTCCAACTTACAACGGGCATGTTTAACCATTTTTAACCAAGGTTGAAGTTTCTGAACTTCCATTCCACCCTAAAAGCTTGTACAGGCGACAGAATGTAAGAATGTAACTGCACCACCATTTAAACTGGAACGGAAAATTTGCTAAACAAGCTGGCGAATAGGAAGCCAACTTTAACAAAATCCTGGACAACTTTAATTCAAAGTTGTTAGTTTGCACATTTCACTCTGGACAGTTTCTCAAACCTTGGACAGTATCGAGCAGGCCTCACTCAACGTTTCACACTGAAGAGACAGAAGAGAGGGCTATTTTAACTTTATTGGCATCACAACCCCAACCGCAACCTGTAAGCAGCAGCCATGCTGTGTGATTTTATCCACTTTTGATGGTTGGAGCCAGATCACCTTAAATTGGAGGTTTCATTGTGAGCTAACAACTTTAATTTACTTTGTGTTGTTGTCGATGCTGAAAGCCTGTAGCTAGTTTAGGCTACTAGCAAGCTCCAAGTAACTAGCGTAGCTAACTAAATAATAGGATGACCTAGCTTATTTACACAGATTCATTTTATTTATTCATTCTGTAGTCGTCTGTTTATGATGCACATACAAAGTTCAGGAATGTGGGCAGTAGTCAGTGGAACAGAATTGGACACCAGTGTGAACAGCACAGTGATGTTTTCTGAATGGCAGGGTCTGATGTACTATTGAGTTTTGAATGTTAGTGTATGTAGGACCTGTTAAGATTTAGCTTGATGAAGCAAAATGGTATGCACCCCCCTAAAAGCTCACTTACCAACATAACTGAATAACTGAGTAATGCTAACAGCATGAAAGGAGTGAGGAAATTGATTCATCTCAGTGCCTTTGTCCTCCCCCATTCTCCTCAGTAAGGAGGTTAGCACTGTAATGACTGGCTGGCAGTGTTTGATGGCCTGAATAAACAGTGCTGTAAGGAGGGTCTCATATCTGGACTGTCATGTGAGGGCAGCGATGTGCCAATCAGAATGTCTGGGGGAGGTCAGGAGCCTCTGTTCTCCCTCAAAAAAATATTTATTATTAAGAGATCTGCTGTGAGATCCATTCACATCACAGTGCGAACTAAAGTAAAGCACTAAAACGTAATTGCTTTTAAATATTTTTGAATTGTATTTCTCATACACACACTATCAACAAATTAATCCATTTCGATTCAGTTTTACTTGTATGACAGTTTTTCCACAGATATTGTCCCGAAGCAGCTTTCCAAGAAATGTGGGCCCTCTAATGATTAGGTTTAGGGAGACAGAAAATCTCAGCAGTTAAATTTGTCCTAGATGTTTTAAACTAAACATAAAAATCCACTATTATCCAGTATTAAGCAACAAAAAGTAAAAATGTGCTGCAGATACAAATATTTGGCCTCATTCACAAACCGATCTGAAGAAGAAATGTCTTTTTAAACCCACTTACAGTTTTTATGAAGATTCTGACATTTGCCAGTGTTTTCTTATTTGGGATTTGTTCTTAGGTAAGAGCAGGATCTAATCACACTCAAGAGCGCAAAGGTGTGAGCATTTCTGCAGTTTAAGAACACGTCATAAATCTGACCTAGACTTTTTCTTAGGACGCTTCTCAAGAACAAAGTTAAGAAAAGGCCAATTATCTTTTGACAAATCAAGTTTAATTCCCAATGGGCCTCATTCACAAATGTCTACTTCAGATTCATTACGTGTTCTTAAACCACAGAATTGTTCACACGTTTGCGTTCTTGAGTGTGCGTAGATTCTGTTCTTATGTGAGAACAAATCCTAAATAATAGAACACTGGTGAATGTCAGAATCTTCATGGGTTTTAAGCATCAGAGGGTTTTAAGAATTTTTTTTCCTAGGAACGGTTGGTGAATGAGGCCCAATATCCTGTTGTCTTTTTCATCTTCAGCTTTTTTTACAGACAGTGTGATGTTTGCTTCCAGAATTGGCTGGTATTTAATTGAATCTGTTCCTCCCTCTACCAGTGAAATGTTTCCTGTGCCACTGGCTGCAACATAAGCCTAAAGCATGCTTTTTTGCACCTTTGCTCATTATGGCCAAAAACTTTTATTTTAACTTCACCAGTTCGCACAATTTGTTTCTAAAATGCATCAGCCTTGTTCAAATGTTCCTTTGCAGACTTTTGATGCTGAAGTTTATGGTGAGGATGCAGGAAATTTTCCATGAAGATCATATTTGTGCAGGTGTTGCTGCACAGTACAACAGTGCACCACCACTCCAGGGTCTGCATAATCTTCCTGAAGGTCTTTTGCAATCAAACAGGGTTTTGATTTGCCTTTCTAGCAATTCCACAAGAAGTTCTCTCTGAAAGTTTTCTTGGTCTTCCAGAATTCAAATGGACCTCTACCATTCCTGTTAACTGCTATTTCTTCATTACATAACAAACTGAGGAAATGGCTTTGCTGTCTTCTTATAGCCTTCTCCTGCTTTGTGGGCATCAATTATTTTAGTTTCCAAAGTGCTATACAGCTGCCTAGAGGAGCCCTTGGCTGCTGATTGTTGGGATAAGGTTTGAGGAGTCAGAGTATCTAGAAAGCTTTGAAATTTGCCACACCTGGCCTTTTCTAATGATGACTGTGAACAAGCCGTAGCCCTAATAAGCTAATTAGGATCTGAGTGCTCAAATCTTTTGGGGTGCCCAAACTTTTGCATGGTGCTCCTTTCCTTTTTTCACTGTAAAATTGTACAAAGAAATACAGTAATCTTGTTTAAAATGAGAAGAAATGTTGAAGAGAATGTTTGTCCTTACCTTTATGCCTTTTGGAGATCAGTTCATCTTCTACTCATTTAACTATTTACAGTAATAGTAAATTTGACCAGGGGTACCCAAAACTCTGCATGCCTGTACATATTAATGTCATTGTAGTTATCCAATTTAGTTGTTACCAAATATTTGAAAACAAAATAAAAAATGAATAGTAAGACAGTAGTTTAAGGATAAAAGATAGTAAGAAAAAAATATCTTGTGCACTACTGATTGTGTGGGACACAAACAGGATTTTGGATATGAGAACATGAGTAAGAGGTTTTATATGATTATAAGGCAGGATTACATTTTCCAGAAACAGTTTAGGAGATTGTGATAGAGCTGGCAGTTATAAAACAAGTCATTCTTGAGGGACGTGAAGGTTGACACTTAAATTCTTGGTACATTTTTTTTTCTTTTTTTCAATTTCTTGTAGAAAGAAATAGAGAAACTAAAGTGTGGGAAACGTAAGACAGAGGGGTCAAGAAGTTAAAGGGGAATCATTTTGATTTTTCACAATCTCCACATAATTCAATCACTGAGATGTAAACAAAATAATTAGAGTGTTTTGGTGTCAAATCGTGCATTGTAGAGAAACTTAATGACTCAGATTTCTTTCCAGTGGTGGTGATAAGAACCAGGAGTCCTAATGTCTGCGATGTGAATACAGCCATTTTACTGACTATCCAAACCACCCAGTCAACATAAGGATATTTTTATATGTAAAAATAATTTTATTTATATGATTTTTTTATATGTATTGTTAATAAAAGAGTAGTAAATCTGACAAAAAATAGTTTTGCTGAGGTACTATTTTTTCTTCCAACATAGTGCATGTAGCCTACCTCTCCGCCATGAATGGATTTCAGAAAAATAAGTTTTCAGGCAGCAGATTTGTAATAACTAATTTGTAGTAAGTTTCCCTTTGGAACGGCTGCAACAGGTGACAGGGCGAGAGTCTTCTTGTCGTTATCAATTTGCCAATGCAAAGGCACAAATTTATCTGAGCCATCGACTACCACTCAGTCTATTTCTAGGTGCAGTAGCGGGGGCTGTGGTGAATGACTTGAAGGGAGTGTGGGGGGGCTGTGGTGAATGACAGGGGGGGTGGGGGAGAGGTAGAAGGCGGGAGGTGGAGAGAGAGAAAGCGAGCATCTAGCGCTCACTATGCGGGAGCTTTCCTATGGCGTGTGACTGAGGGAGCTCGTCTGTATATCCCGTTTTCATTGGGACTGAGTGAGAGCAGAGAGCAGGGGTAAACATGGCTCCCAGCGCGCTGCACTTGTGCCTGTTCGTGATTTACGCCGTTCAGCCGGGCTGTGGATTTAACATTGACGTGCGTTTCCCGGTCATCAAGGAGGGAAAAACTAAAGGCAGTTTCTTTGGTTTTTCCGTCGCGCAGCATGAACAGACTGAAAAGGCAAAGAAGTACCTGTGAGTACCTTTCTTTCCTTCCTTTAGTCGGACGCAGGTTCGGAAGGTTGACGAACAGGTTGTAGTTACGTACGTTGCAGGTATAATAACGTTGCCCCTTTGTTGTGTGGCGCAAAATTAGAAAATAAATTGAGAATATGACAGTTACATCTACTCATTTAGCACTAAACCATACTGCAGTCATGTTTTTTGTGTAAAAGTCTTGTTAAAAGGTTGGAGTTTTTCGCCGGTCAGCACTTGCTGGATAGCATAGCCTGTTTCCACTTTTCTTTGGTGTGTTCACTTTGCTCTGTGTGAGAGCTGCTCACTTCTGAGGTAAACCGACTGTGGGCTGTTAATGTAGGGGGCTGATTTTACACATGTCTGTTTAGCTCGCTGGGAGTTTGTTCTGTGTTCACATAGCCTAATGTGACTTTCCACCTTGAGCCTCAGATGACCACAATGCCTTACATTGGAAAACTATAGCCTCCTCCTCCCCACTGATGGACGTGCGTTGCTTTTTCAATATGTTGTGTTTTAGCTAGTTGTGCGTGAGTATTTCTGTCAGCTTTTCAGTACAAGTTGTTCACGATGTAATGCGAATGCAGGCACCAGCATTAGCTGACAGAAAGCTGGAATGCTGCTCTTAGGCTGAGATATAGCCTCAGGGCACAAAACAGTAAATGTAACTGTGGGTGAATGCAGGTGAAATGAGATAGTATGGGGCCACATCCCAAAGAAAGCCTGAGCCAGGGGACATGTTATTAATTGGTGTGAATATTCGGAGTAGCACGCTTGTAAAATGTAATTTTACGTGCAGACCACCTGGCCTTTTAGTCCCATGACTCCTGCCCTGTTTAAATTACTGCTGACATTTAATTTTATTCGTTTTTAAACTGCAGTATATTGCACTTTTGTGATTTCAGCATTTACAAAGTTTGAGACAGCATAAGGAGAAGTCATTCATAATTTAATTACATGAGGTTTGAAGAGAGTTTGCTTGCCTGTGAATTGTGCTGTAGATTGGGAAAATACTTTTTTTCTGATGGTACATTTAAACCTCACCATTGATTTAAACAGACAAAGTCTTCTAGATGCTAAAGTCATAACCTTTATATCGACCCTGCAGGTATGTGGAAAGATTCTGTCAAAGCATTTTCAAAGCTGTAAGCCTCTTTGTATTGTGCGATGGTTGGGTGTTCCCTGGTTACTCTGCGAGGACCCTGTTGCTCTGCCCTTATTTGGTATTTCCTGTTCAACTGAGATGAAGCTATCATCATGCAGCATCTGCACACAGTGAGGGCCCTTCAAAGGACAGTGGTATTTAATGAGACCCATAGTTTTCTTGTTGGCGTTGCTTTAAACGTAATCTGTACGGTGCCGATTTCAGCTAAAAAGACATCAGCTGTTTCAGAATGAGCAGCGAGTGAACCATGCTGCTTCAAAGTGATTTTTGGGTTGATGCTCTATATTGCATTTTGTTTGTAACATGTAGATGGGGGCCACATAGTAACGTCAATTGCCCATCGCTCCCAGCCATCTAGGGACATGGGGATCACTAGGGAGATGCAAATAGTAAGATGGAAGGGAACCCAGCTACCTTCATTTTAACAGACTGGCCCTGAAGCAGGACCTTGTAAGGTGCTTTACACACCAGTAAATTGGCTGCATTCATTATCTCAAGTGTTGACTGATAAACAGTGCTGTCTGCCTCTCATACAGCATTTGACATAGGCCATAAAACATCACTAGTGCACCAGGTGATCTTTGAAATTAGAATGATTTTGCATTCATCGTAATGCACTTTGATTCACTATATAAACCAAAAACATTAAATATTCAAAAGTGTTACCAGGTCATACGGTCCATGTATGGAAGCTGCAAAACCAGCCATTTGTTTCAAGGGATGAGGAGTGTTGCCGAGTGCCTGTCGTTGTAGGGTCAACAGTGAAGTCATTTGCTGTTCCTGACTGTCAGGAAGCAAATACTACCAGCATCCAATATTCCAGTGTCTTTCCAGTATTAAGAGTATCCAGACATCTGAAAGGAGTGCCTGTCCTTGTTTTTTTTTCAGACACTCCTGAATATTTCAGTAAAAACTTTTGTCTGTACATTATAGCCTGGACTGCTTTTGAATGCAGCACTATACAGGACAGCCAATCAAAACAGCAGTCATTTACATTTATCGATCTTAAAGGTGCAGAATTAAAAAAGACAAAGGAGGGCTTTTTCATGATGGTTTCATTGGCAAACTAATATCCTGTTTGCAGATGTGTGCTACCCTGTGAAACAATTTCAGTTTGAGTACATGAAAAAGCAGTTTTTTGTTGCTATATAGGCCCTCTTGGCCGGTTGAGGACACTGTCCAGACACTGCTCTTCCTGCTGCATATCCTGGGAGATTGGAATGCACTAGCTCAAGTTGCCGTGTGTCCAGTGTTAACAGAGGGATCTTATTTTCTGTCACCCAGTTTTATAGCAAAATCCAGTGTCTCCACTGCCTCACCACAGAGACATGAGATCCAGCCTGCTAGCATTTAGCCATTATTTGAGAAGCTCCAGTATAACAGAGTTTGTTTGTCATCTAGTTCCAGTATGCATAGAGAGCTGGTTTTGGAGCAGTGAATAGAAGTGCAAGATGTTCTTTGCTGTAACTTAAGTATGGCAAAGGATAAATACTGTAGTTGCCATTGCTACAAAAGTGTTGTAGTAATAGACAGTAGCCAGTTATTTTTTGCTGTATACTGAAGCAGTAAAGGTTCAAACATGAAAAGACATGGAACAAATGTACATAATGTGTCCTACTACATGGGTATTTTTGAATATTGATTTTTTTTTCTTTTATTGCTTATTTTGGAACAGTCATGTCAATCTTCCAATTTCTGTTCAATTACGAATGAATGATTTCACCCTTAAAGAGTGTGTGAAAGAGTTCACATGAAATAATGTGTGTAAATGTTAACATGAATATTGTGTGAAAGAATTCACATGAAGAGTGAGCTCAGCTACTTCCTCTTGAAGATTTTGTGAAGATGGGGGACGTGGTTTATGGCCATGAAAGTTATTTGTCAGCATGAAGCATGGCATCCAACTAATCTACTGACTTTTTAAAAAACGAAAAACTGTAAGTTAACACAATAAGGAACAGAAGGAAAAATCAAACAGTGGGTAAAAAATTAAAATATACTAATGAAAATATAAAATAATGGCATAATGGATCCAATCCAGTCAACTCTGTGTTACTGTGCAGTTTTGATCTGACAGTTACAACAGCGATTATTCTTTGCGGGCTGGTTTAAACCTTAGTTTGGTCATGCTTGGACAGCTATTGGAGCATGCAGCTGGACAGTTTTATGGAAATACTGGCAGTACTTACAGTGCACTCAGAAAAGTGTACTGTGGTGTAATATATCATGTTAACAGTAACATGTCATCATTTTGCCCACCCCTACTCTTTAAACCCAGATACTGCTAGGAAACTAACCCTCCTCCCCACACACACATTCCTCCTTATTCCCAACTTCATACACCTTCCCTGTCTTGTTTTCTGCCTGTGGAGGGTCTCCAGGTTCTTTGTATGTTCTTTTGACTGGTAGAGGACTGAGGCTGTTCTCTGGCCTCTCATTGGCTCTTTTAGGCCCTTGACCCTGAGGAATGTGGGGAATGCTTCATCATTGCCTGCTCAGAGGACCTGCCAGGTTACAGGTTGGGACAGGCCTGGGAGAGAGAGCTTGGGAACCTGCTGCCTCACAGACATCCTGAACCCTGAAGGATTAGTGCCATATTAGAGCCTCCACACACACATATGCACACACTGGACTCGATCTCACACAGTCACCTTTGCTTCCGATGGAGTTTATTAAGAGCAGCAATTTGCTGGTGAAGTGAGCGCACATCAATGGCCTGATTCCTCTGCATTCAAGCATTTAATTAAACTTGAGAATGGTGTTGCTGAGCCAGCCACCAGCTGGCTGAACACTGTGGCACCGTGGCTCAAGGCCACGAGCCGAGTTACTCAGCTTTTTCATTTGATAGGGCTTTTCTTCACTGTCTCCATTCCAGCTAGCATTATTGGCACTATTGTTTCAAGCACTATATTGTCAAAAAAATACTTACAATAATAACATATTCTGGAGTGAATGAATAGTAGCACTGGATGTGGTACAAAAGCAATAGTTTGCAGTCCCAAGTCTGCTTCTTTTAGTAGTAGTTTTGAGGCTGCTGTAGCTAACAGGTAATGGAAATTTATGGCCAACATTTAACATTGCGCAAACTGCATGTCTAAATCATCACACTTGCCGTATACTGCTATATTAGCTAGGTAGCTCTAGTGCGAATCTACAGAAGCGAACTTCAGACATCAGACATGTCTTGGCAGAGGGGTAAGGGGGTGGTTCTGTACATGAACCAGCATCTCTGTCTTTCCCCCCTCCTTCTGCTTGTCTGTGCATCCCTCATGAGAAATTGGCCATAGACAACATCAAATATAAAGAATGCTTTTACTGCAACACAACAGACGGTAGTTTTGCTTAAGAAGGTTAGAAGTGCAAGAAAGTACTTCTTGGCAGCTAAACAACTTTTATCCGTTAATTACAGTTTAGACCTATTAGTTACTCGCATTCCTCAAACATTTTAACTCCCTCAAACAAAACATTCCCCCCATGGCATAAATAATTATTATCTTCGCCTTCTGTTTTTAACTGTTCACCTCCCATATTTCTCATCAGCTCCCATCGGTCCACTGTTCTGAGTGGCTCTTAAAAACAGACGCCAGTATGTGTCCCACCGATTTATTGAATTATGCTATCTGTAATGAAGAGTTGTGTAAAGAGAAAAACACTTAAAATGTTATGTATAGAGATATAAACAAGTAATAATGTGTCTAGAGTAGAAATACCGGATGTCTTGCTTGAGTCTGCAGACTTGGCAACTCTCCAACATGCTTTTTTTTCAAGCTGTGGTGATAGTGGTTGATTCAGGTTCAGGTGTATGCTATTCAAAGCAAATCCTGCATTCCATGAT